GGGGCTCCATGTTATCATGATAGTATAATGGGGCCCAAAATATATTCGGGTTTAGGTTCCTAGAGTTGACAGGACCCATGGGGTTTACAGGGCTCGTAGGACTTAGAGGGTGTGGAGGGTGTAGGCATATCTTGCGATGAGGGATGGTGGCGGTTTTGCAAGCCAACCGGCTTCCAGAACCCTCTAAACCCTACTGTAACGCCTGATACCCTACACCTTGAGATTATAATCCCCAAGCCCTCAACCCTAATCCCTAAACCGCCGTAAACCCTAAACCCCTAAACCCTAAGGCCTAAACCCTAAAACCTAAGCCCTGAACCCTAAACTCTGACAACAAATACAAATATACTGCTTCAGACTCGGTAAGCTACCCCCTTGGTTTGCCGAAATGGGCTAAACCTGAAGACCAAAAGGCCCTGAAAAGTAGGGCCCCTATCATACCCTTCTACTTGTTACGCCTCTAGCTTGACAGCAGGGTTTTTGTACCCTTATACTATGGATCCCCATGTGGTTATCGAACTCTAAACCCTACTAGGGTACAATTCGTCCGTAATGGACCAGGTTGTGCGTGGATAGGGACCCCCTGTCACGAACCCTAGACCAGGGCTTGATGCGCACGATTGCTTTTTGCGCAGTTTCGCGTTCGTGTTAGCTTCGGCTTGAGGGAAATGGGGATATGGTGTGTTTAAGGAAAATCACTTTTGTGTGTATAAAAATATGTAAATAGATGGATGGATCGATAGAATGGACTAGAATGGATCAGATAGACAGATAGATCGACAGACAGGGTTTAGGGTTAAAGGCAGGTCGAAGTTTTGTTTCATGGCGCTAGAGTTTATTGATCCCGAACCCCACAGTCCTGAGTAATTCTCGAAGATTCTAAGTGAATCCCCATCTTGAAACCGGTACCCAGAGAGCCCAATACCCCTTAATTAAGGAATATAGCATAAATCATATTATGAACCCCTATATAATTTAAGCCATATTCCTTAATTAAGGGGTATTGGGCTCTCTGGGTATGCGCTGGGAGTCGCGACTGAAGGAATGGTCAACGGCGCCCTTTTGCCGGTTGATGGCGGCTTTCTTTGCTATGGCGGAGTGGTGTAGTCGCAGACGGGGCCCTTGGCGGCTCCTTGGTAGTAGTGAAGTTCCATTCACTGTTTGGTTGAAGGATGTAGCCACGGTATAGCTTGTAGAACCATAAAATCTTTCTCTCAGTACTGGGCTCTCTGTTTAGGAGCATCTCGAGTCAAAGGCGGTGGGTTTAAAGTCGCTGACCTAGGGCAGATTATTTTGTGGCCCTGCGCATGTAAAGACCAACGAGCATGCTGCACATGGCCGATATCGCTTTTGCTTGCCGTCTTCTTCGGTCGATGCTAGTGGGCATGACTTTCGAAGTGTCGCAGACTTTTAGAAGCTTGTCACTACCATCATGGTATAAGTGCTAGCGACTCTCACAAACTGTAACTGTTGCATGCTATCCGCAGTAGTGCTGCTACTACGTAAAATCCTCACGGGATCACGGAAGACAGCATTACACGTCTGCTTTCAAGTATTTTAATTGGGGTCAACTAACGGTTAGAAATGCATAGATACATGTCTTGCGATTTAAAGCCCTTCTGGTGAACCCTACTTGAGCGATAGTTGGTTCTAGTGGTCATGGCTTGCATTACCCTGGCTTCGTCAGCGGGTGGTTAGTGTTCCATGAGGGCAAGCCACATGCTCTCGTTTTTGTTAAATGCAGATTAGCGAGGGTTCCTTCCAGGGTACCATACATATACATATATATGTATATATATATATACATATGTGTATATATATATATATATATACATACGCGTAGCTTATACATGTACGAGCTGCTCGTGTATTCCACTAAGACGAGTGCTCGTGCAACGATGCTGTTGTCGACCTCCACTCATTGAAGTGTCCAGAAAAGAGTCTGGAGCTACAAGAGAAGGAGATGCCAACTCCTGCGGAACACCCTAGGCCTTAAACCCCTGAACCCCTAACCCCTAAACCCATCCCCACGACGTAAACCTAACCGGAAAGCCAAGACACATACCTTGGCAGAAATCTTCAACTTCCCGTGACGCGCTGGCATCACTGACCCACCAGTGTTCAATGCCGGAGCGGGAGTTCCTGACTTGGTACATACATGTGTGTGTGTGTGTCTGTCTGTATGTGTATATATATATATATATACATGTATCCTCTATATACAAATACATATATATGTATATATATATATATATATACATATATATATATATATATATCTGTATATATATACATATATACATATATATATATATGCAATAGAAAGACAGACAAGAGTGTCAGGCCCCTCAATATGGCATAAGCTTTCAAAGCCTTAGAGTAATCCTCAAGCCTGGTCCAGACGCTAAGCCCTGACTAACAGTAGATTGTATCAGATTACATTCCGAAAGGTGTTATGGGGAAGACTTCCCCAAATCATAATAGTAATTCCTAATATAGAAACCCTACATTCTACTATATAAGGTGCTTTGGACCCTTTGGGATTATAGCCTAGGGATTTTTATATTGTTTTGCATTATCTATATGGTCATACCCTACCCTTTTTTTAGGATACCTACTTTTCTATATAGCAGATCCTAATCATAAAACTAGGTACCCTAAAACAGGGGTAGGGTATGACCCTCTGGGTACATATTATGTATCATATATTCCGGAATATCCACTGCAACCACCCTACGAAGCCTTCTTCTGTCCATACACCTACTCAAGCCGAAGGGCCCAAATCCCTACCCGGCCACAGACCGAAACCCGAATTCTGTTTTTAAGGACCAAAAGGCCGTTGAAACGAAACCGTCAGCAGCTTCATGTAGGTGCCTCAACGGCGCCAGGCCCTAAAAGCCTTGTGCCCTTACAGCCGAGGCCCAATACCGTATCCCTAAATACATCTGAAAGCCCTAAACCTCAAAGCCCAAGCCTTAAACTCTCAACCCTAATCCCCCAATCGATGCATCCACGAGCAAGTGACCGAAGAATGAGGCTGGAAATTGGAACGGCACCCTCAAAGCCCCGGGTTTAGGGATCAAAATTGTCGCGCTCAGGAGCTTTAGGTCTATGAGGTTTTGGGGTTCGTTCTGGGTTTAGCACAAAACCGCCAAGAGAAGGTTTTTTCACTCGAAAGACTGATCCCTAAGCCGAGCAGCGGGGAGCCTTCATGACATGTACAGCCGCCCTGCACAGTCAGTGGCAAGGTGCCACTAAGCGAGACGTCGACAGTGCTTGCCGGGGCCAAGATTCAGGGCCACAAGTGTCGCCATACAAAACAAAAAGGCGCGACCTCTGGGAGTGCATGTGTATGTCGTATGTGCACGTGTGTACACGTAAGTATCAATTATGAACTAGGCGCGTTTGCAGGCAATCATATTTGGAGAAAGTATATGCCATGCACGATCATGAAGGTTCAACTATAGCTGTTAATTAGTCGTGCGCATGATCAAATGTTCACACCCACATACAGGTACACACTCATGTACGGGTCTGTGGTGCCGAAGCAGATCGGTACAATCTCGAAGACAACCAAATACATTCGAAGCCATGTCATGTGTGCCTCTGTCTCTGTATGTATAAGTACAAGGGTTGGATGAGGTTTCTAGCTGGGATGTCCGATTCCTGCTGCACTAAATGACCCTTGAGAGCAGGGCCCCTATAGCCCTATACCACGAATCTCTATATGATCCTGTATGGTAACTAGATGAACCTAAGCCCCATTCAGGGCATGTTTCGTCCTTCAGAGTCACCCGATTCATCGTGCTCTTCAGTCCAAGGGAAGGATCTCCAAAGCTTAACAGTTGGGCCTCGATCCTGTCACTTTCCCAAAAGCTTGGGTGATGGTGACGGTGTTTTAGCATCTTGGAATGTATAGGGTTATGGCTTATAGCTGTAGGGCTGTAGGATTTAAGGTTCACGGTTTCCAAACCCTTTGTGTGGCTTTATGGCGTTTTGCTGTAGGCCTTTAGGATTTAAGGTTCAGACGCAGCCCTGCCGTGCCAGGCTTTCATGCCGCTGGCCTCCACACCAGACGTGCGCACACCCAGTCACGGGTAGCAGGGCTTATAGGGTTTAGGGTAGCAGTAGCAGGGTTTAAGGCCAAGTTCAAGAAAGGCTTTGGGCCTGTTGGGTTTTGTAGTTGCCTCCGTCGCTTCGACCGCATCATTATACCGAATCGTGCGGCAACACAGCCGGCCTTCAAGGTTTCTATTAGTTCTTTCGTAGGGTGAGCACCACGTAGCTATGAGTGGTACACTACTGCCACCTAGGCCGTACAGCTTGTCGGCCAGGTTTGTGATGCCGGGGAGTACTGCAGATTGTTCCAAGGAGCGTGCCACCATAATTTCCATCTGCAGCATTGCGTGCCAGTTCATCAGTCGATCGAGAGTTTTGCACCGAACTGTTCTTCTGTTGCCTTCCTGCTCAAAGTCAGAATGCCTGTAATTCGGGGTCTTGTCAGTTTGCAGGATGGTTTCCCCATCGCCGGATGGGTATAAATTTGCATTGGTCACCGGTATTGCAGAGTATGACAACATGCCAGGACTGGTTGCCGCTTCCAAAGACCGAGGCAACGTCAGAAGCACGTTGCGAGGTCTTGGATTTAATCTGTCAGAGCTTGCCGCACAAGATCGCGTTTTGAAGTTTTGAAGCTTGACTTTCTGGACGCATTGGAAAAGCTTATCCAGAAGGGTGAGTTGGCCCTTTCAGCTGGCAAGAGCCCAATCCTTTTCTTTTGGCATTCTGGTCATGGGCTGCAGGTACACAAAGATGCTTTGCCTCATTTGGTTGCGTCAGACTCAGAACCAGACAGTGTCGACACGCTCGTCGATACCGACTATTTTATCACAAAATTGAACGAAGTTCGGGCCGAGAAGCACTGCAAGTTGCGGGTGATCATCGTGCTAGATTGCTGCCGCTTTCAATCGAGGGGTCCGATTGCTCCGGTTACCATCAACATGCGCCAGAAACTGCCGAGTCTGAAACATGATTTCTACATTATTCTTGCCTGCGATCCCGGACGTGGAGCTGGGGATTTCGAGAATGGTGGTGTGCTTACACAGGAAGTACTCCGCCTGCTACCATACAGGAAACCGATTTTGCAGATTTTTCATGAAGTTGAAAAGCGCGTGAAGTGCCAGCGCCCCTGGGTACGGTCGCGCGCAGGAGACGATGAACCGGTGCTTGGACAGCGTGATGAAGAGTTTCCAAGTCGCAGCCCCCGTCATCTTCCAGAAACGGCGCAGCTACTCGGTGTTGAAGACGATATGTATGGTCCACACACTGCGCAGAGCCCACCGTGTCCCGACTCTGATTCCCTCAGTGCCTGTGATACATTCCGGTTGTATTGGTTTCCGTTTGCGGGTATACTCGCTCTAGGGATTCATGCTATATTGCTCACCTTGTGGGTCTCGGGCGTCGGCATCAACAAACGCTATGCCACACGACTGGCCATGCCCCCATGCCTGGCGTTCATGGATTTGGCCAGCTTGAGTCAAGCTTACTACCGGAGGCTCTCCGAATTGAAGCCCTCTTGTGGACTGGCGTGCAGCGTTTTCTTGCACCAAGTATGGCCGAAGTGGGAACACCATCTGAACAGGGTTTGGTATCCTTCTTTGTTCCTTGTGCTGGCAGCCGGCGAGCTGACGCATGATCGCGACGTCCTTGCAGCCATAGTCAGCTGCATTCTGGGAGCAGTCTGTTATTTTACAATGTTCAGATTTAAGCTCCCAGCTATCCTTACAGTGTATGACAGGTTTGATGAAACGTCCATTGATCGAGCTACTTGGACCTGGCTTTCTGTGAGTGCCGTGGCCTTGTACTTTGCAGAAAGTGGTTACCAGTGTCTGCAGGCAAGTGACGATGACAGCATGCGAAATGTGGAGAGAAATTTTCATGTTTTCAATGTTGTATATCTTGCAGCTTGGTACTTCACGATGTTCCACCGTGCTAATCCTGCTTTTGCGGATTGTGGCCTGAAGAATAGCTTGAGCCGCAATCTGTCAGCGCACATGACAATTGTGCCCCTCGTTGCAATTCTTTGCCCTTTGACGCAGTCTGTTCTGCGCGCGTCTCCTATCTGGAATTCTTGGCCATGGCAGCTGTGGCTCCTCGCGGAGTACGCGGGGCTTTTCGGATTCGCGACGATGTGTGGCGTTGTCTTTCCGCGGTGCACGACTCCTGCCTCTGACGACATAGGTTTTTGTGCCTGAGGCCTACGCGTCGCATCGAGTCTTACATTCACTGTCCCAAGTGGAGGACATGAGTGACGTAGGTGTGGTCCCGAGCGGCACTGAAAGTTCATGCTTCATTCCTGAATTCCAGGTTTCTAGCATCCCTGCAGGATCGGGCCCCATCTGAGTGGCCCCAGTGCCCACCGAAAGTGGATACCTAGCAGCTGAATGAAACTTTCAAGCAGATAAATACAGACTGGCTTACACAGCAGTAGGCCTATGTACGGGCCCGGGTGTCCAATTTTTCGGAACCTCCCATGCACGAGACATTTTAAGAGCTGACAAGCAGCTCATTGTTCATGTACAGTTCAGCTTCAGAAATGCATTGTTTTCTGAATGCATCTGATACCTTTCCTTTACGTCAGCCCTATTCTTATGAAAGCTGCAGCCGTCCAAAGGTCGACGGCAGTGTGGCATGGTCATATCCTGGCGAACCAACCGAGGCTACATCAGTCCAGGCTTATCCGCCAGCTGTCGCTGCATAATATGTCGCCCATGAAAATGCACTCCATGCCAGCCTCACCTGTTCATTCCAAGCCTCGGCCTGCGAATCCATCCCACAAACTCCAACCCATCTCGGCTCCGTCCGCGCCCCAACGGCGGCTTTAATTTAATTTCTCAATGAAACCAATGCCAAAGACTGAGAACACCCTTGCCCGAACACAAGGGCGACGCGCAAGAGTGATAAGGTCCAACAGATGGTCCTGCACGATCCCATCCAGCTTGGGGGCTCGCAGGACAGATCCTGGCCGGGGCCTTGGAGAGATGTGGGGAACGTGTAGTGGTCAGGGAAGCTTGGCTTCTATGATTCCGTGTATGTATGGTAGATGTGGCACGATTCGGATGCTATGCTTTCCGCCGTAAACGCGGTAAACTTTCAGTTCAGACCTGAACCCTAAACCCTAAGACGTTGAGGCCGGTAGAAGGGCTGTGGGCGGCCTATGACGATGGAGTTTCGGATTTTCGTCGTTGGATGGGCTCAGGGCTTAGTGGGACGTATTGCCGTGGTGTGATTCAGTTCAGTCATTTCCATGGACGCTTCATGGATAAGGGTTTAGGGTTTAGGGAGTCTTTGTTTTTTTGGCTCTTGAAAAGAATCCACTGATGGCTGGAACAGCCCCTTGCTATAAAGTCGACAGCGGATATTGTTCGAGTACCGTGCTTGTTGTTTCATGGCTCCCAAACCCCTCAACCCTAAACCCGAAACACCAAATCCTTAAACCCCTAAACCTATAATTAAACCCCAAAACCGTAAACAGCTCAACCATAAACCCGATAAGCTAACCCCGAAAACTCTAAATCACGAAACCTCCTTAACCCTATAACTCTAAACCCTGAATGCCTCCTAAACCTTCTGAGAGCGCTAAGTTCTAAACTCTGCAGGACCCCGAGTGGTTCGGCAGCCTACAGCAAAAGCCCTGTAAACCCTATGAGCTCTACGAGCCCCTAGGCCCCCCTTCCCCCCCGAAAAAAGCCATCAATCCCCACACCCCTACCCCCTAAACTCCAAACCCCAAAACCCCTAAACCCCTGAACCCTTAAACCCCAAACCCCGAAACCCCGAACCCCCTACAACTCTTAAACCCTTAAACCCCTAAGCCCCTAAACCCTCAAATCCCTCAACCCCCTAAACCCTTAACCTTAAACCCTCTAATCTCTAACCCCTTAAGCCCATGAACTCCGTAACCCTCAAATCCCTAAACCCCTAAGCCCTTAAACCTCTAGACCCCCAAAGCTTTAAACCCTTTCAACTTAAGCCCCTAATTCGCCTAAACCCCTTAGCCCCCAAACCCCAAAACCATTAAGCCCCTAAACCACTAAACCCCTAAACCCTTAAACCCCGAAACCCCAAAACCCTTAAGCCCCTAAACCCCTAAACCCTTTAACCCCCAAAGCCCTAAGCCACTAAACCGCCTAAACCCCTTAAGCCCTTAAATCCCTTAAACCCTCAAATCCCTCAAATCCCTAAACCCTTAAACCCCTAAGCCCCTTAAGCCCTCAAACCCCTAAACCCTTAAACCCCTACAAACCCTTAAACCCTGAAATCCCTAAACCCCTAAACCACTAAACCCCTAAGCCCCTAAGCCCCTCAAAGCCCTAAACCCTTTCAACTTAAGCCCCTTATTCGCCTAAACCCCTAAACCCTCAAATCCCTGAACCCCTAAACCCCTAAGCCCCTAAACCCTCAAATCCCTAAACCCCTAAGCCCCTATAAACCCCTTAAGCCCTCAAAGCCCTATGAACCCTTAAACCCCTTGACCCTTAAACCCTCAAATCCCTAACCCCTTAAGCCCCTGAACTCCGTAACCCTCAAATCCCTAAACCCCTAAACCCTTTCAACTCAAGCCGCTAATTCGCCTAAAACCCTTAAGCCCTCAAATCCCTTATATAAATCTGTAAACCCTTAAACCCTGAAATCCCTAAATCCGTAAACTCCTAAACCCCTAAAGCCCCTAATTCGCCTAAACCCCTTCAGAGGTCGCTCCCACACCGCTCCAAGCCTGAACGCAGCGTGCGGCTGATGCAGGCCAGGCCGCAGATGTTCACTGTGTTTTTTGTTTTTTTGTTGAGGAGGGGGGGGGTTGAGGATTCAGGATTTAGGGGGTTGATTTCACTTTTTTGTGCATGTTTAGGGTCTAGGGTTAAGGGTTTTTGGGGTTAAGGGTTTTAGGGTTAAGGGTTTAGGGCTTAAGGGTTTAGGGGTTTGGGGTTTAGGGTTTAGGGTCTTAGGGTTTAGGGGACCCCCAAGAGGACATAATCATAAGCAGTTGATAGGGATATCCCTACCTTATTGGGTTTCATTGTAAGGGAGCTTAAATGGGGGTTGCCTATGTTGTTTGGTGAGGCTCTAGGGTTGGAAGTGAAGTTTTAGGGCTTGTAGCCCCTTAGTCCAGTGGACACGGCAGTGTTTCGTGCTTAGGTTTTAGGGCTTTGAGTTTGAGATTTGGGGTTTGGGCGTTAGGTTTCGGGCTTGCTTAGGTTTTGGGGCTTTGAGTTTGAGATTTGGGGTTTGGGCTTTAAGTTTCGGGCTTTAGTGTATAGGCATGGGCATGTGGATCAAGAGTCCCATGCAGTGCAGCGCTTGACGAGGGTGTTACGAGAGCTTGTGGCAGTTCGCTGAAAGCCCACTTATAAAGTTCGGGCTGTGCCCTGAGACATCGAAAGCATACTCAAGCAAAGTACCTTATTCTATACAGGGGATCCGACGTATGATGCAGGTATGTATGTAGGTATGTAGGTATGTATGTATGTATCTGTACTGACCGTCCTGAATTACGAGGTTTCGGAGTCTCTTATTCTGTGGGCAGTTCTCTAAATTCGGGTCCCGGCCCTCATTAGCGATCTAACCTAACCATGTGTCTGCAAGGTTTTGTATTGGTGGCAGCTGTTGAAAGTCCATGAACTTCAGAGGAGTAGGTTTAGGGTTTAAAGTAAAGGAGTTTAGCTTGTATAGGCTGGGGATTGCGTTTTAAGGTTTAGGGTGTATAGGGTCTGAATAGTTGATACTTCTATCATCAACTGTTATAGCATAACTACCCTCCAAACCCTGCTACAGCTGCTATTTTTGACCTTTTCCACCACAGGAACCCCAATCTTTAAAAGGGGGGGGCAATCCCTACCTGAAGGACCAAACGACCCTTAAAGGTGGGGGCCCTGTACCCATATACTGTGAATCCCTATATGGTATATGAACCTTAAACCCTTTTAGGGTTCATTTCGTCCTTAAGGTAATCCCCAAACCCTAATTGAGAGGAGCGCTGCTCGCACTACGACGGCCCTGCCCGAGCTGGCGGAAGCCGAGAAGGTCTTCCCTAATATGGTACCCTAACCCAGAGAGCCCAATACCCCTGAATTAAGGCATATAGCTTAAATTATAAGGGGGCGTATAATATGATTTAAGCTATATTCCTTAATTAAGGGGTATTGGGCTCTCTGGGAAGTAGTAGGATCCTTATTATAGGGACCCCAAAAATAAGGTACCCCTAGTTAGCGGAAACTCCCAAATTGGTCCAACAAAAGCACTGCTTTTTGGTCTCCGCTGTGGTTTAGGGTTTCCTTATAGACCCTAAGCCCGAAACAGATGAAGAGAATTCCGTAGGAATTGGGGTTTGGGGATTAGGGTTGGGGACTTGGGAGGATTATACAGGGTTGTAGAATTGTTTCATGGTTTTATTGTGGGAACTTTGCACAAGGTTCGCCATGGAGTTTGCTTGGAACTCTTTGCAAGTTAACGTCCCGAGATGACGTAGTCTGAAACTTCGGGCTGCTATATTTCGGTTATTTAAGGGTGGAGTTGTTTAAGGCTTGGGGTTGAACGCTAGCGTAGGCGAAATGTCGGGATTGGGTGTTCGGGGTTCAGGGTTCTGTTTAGAGTTTCAGCAGAGCCTCCAAGCACCCGTGGAAGCAGTTGCATATCATCATCAGTAGGTATTCAGGTGTGGCAACAATATCGGTGCCGTCTATCCTGCTGGATGAGCCGCTCAACTCTTCTTTTGATCGAGCAACAACGCCGCCTGCGCTCACTTGCCCATCGAGGAACAAGCTAGGCGTTCAAATCACGGACATGGCATTGCCCTCTTCAACAACCTAGTGGCTCCGCTCCATCCTGACTGGTGCTGATAGGAAAGCAGCGACACTGGGTGGATTTGTGTGACCGAGCCAGTTGCAGTGCTATATGTGGCCATGCAGTGTGCCGTTGCTGCTGCTCGCAGCGTTTACAGATGCCGCGGAGAAGTCGAGCTGGTGTTGTCCACACCTAAGCTGCTCGATGGCGTTGCGGGGTCAACCCCAAACCCTAAACCCGGGCATAGACTCCCGAACCCCTGCCTCCCGAGCCTCCATGAACCCTACCAACAATCCAATGACCCTCTTTGCCCACATAAACCCGCAAGCCGCCAAGCCCTTATAGAGCCCTTATCACTCTAAAAAGAACCCGTGTATTTAAAATTCTTATAGAACCCTAAACCCTGGATTGAAAC